TTTACACTAGTAATTGACAGCCCAAGTCACCACACAGGTGTGGCAGTTGGGCCACATATGCACCATCTGTATAATCTCCTTCAAATAGCCAATAAAATGCAAATTGGCTGAAGAGTAATAAGGTGATGATTGGTGGAGTTACCTCTGGTCTCACAATGGTAGAGGACTCTTGCCATGGCATAGATACAGGCCATGTTGTCACATGGGTATAATTTGTAAAGTCAAAATGTATGAGACTTTAAAAATTGGATGCTAACGAATCACAAACCCAATTGAACCTCATAATATTCTGAATAAAAAGATTTCTTAATCATACTTGTAGCTGTTTCCATCACTTCACAAATAGTCTAGACAAATCCTGGAATATTATATAGATTAGCTATACTACATATTTCCAGGAAGTCCAGATATCCCAAACCTGAGGATCAGACCACAAAGGTATTGAAATACCTGGGCCCGGCAATATAATATGCCTTGGGCAACATAATATAAACTGCATCTAAACAATCAGTGAAACTTAATGATTCAGAAAAGAAAGTCAGCACCTGTTTTTAAAAGGCAATGGTCAGGGAAGGACATATATTAAACTATGATTTTGTTCTATGTTAATTTAGAAGCTAATAAGTTTGAAATTTGGGGGAAAAGTTTCTGTTACAACTGGCAATTGTGGCATATGTAAGAAATCTCTCATTCCAAATCTGTAATGACCCAGCATATTTCTATGCTCTTGATCAGTGCAGGGATATAATAGCAAAACAAGGTAAATCTGTAATATGACCAATAGGATGCAAGTGTGGATATGCACATGTGCTTTCAATTCTGAGACGAGAAGGCTAGCAATTGGAGAGCACACAACACCCAGTAAATAATCAGGTTCTCAGATAATCTTAAGGAGACAAAACTTCTATAACACTATCTGTGAAACAACCTGTTATGGATTACAGAAGCCACTCATTAGCGTGGAAGGGGCTCAGGAGCCGCTTTGGGCTAAAGTGATGCTGCTTCTCCACACTTGCAAATCATGCAAGGACTGGAGGAGTTAAAAAATGAGGTAACTCCATTCAGATGGGGCAGCCTTGGGAAAAGAACAGGCTGGTGAGCTTCTCCAGCTCCGATGAATGGGCTGACAGATAGCAGAGTCTCTGCCCTCGCAGAAGGAGGATGTGGCTTCCCTGAGCTAAACAGGAGGACTGATACTCGTACTGGAGACTTAGTGAACTCTAATTCTCCCAGGGCCTTCAGAAATAAGAGAAACCTATGTCCTGATAAGAGCTGGCTACAGATTTTTTTCCCTTTGCATTTCCTTCCAATCTTAATTTAACTTTGTTAGCTGATTGTGAACAGTTTTGTTGTTTCACCTTATAACCTGAGAAGGGAACAAACAGCCAACAGGTTTTAGAAAGATGATTGAGAGTCAGCCTGCTGGGGTAGAAGTAATATGTCTTCCCCACAAAGTTCCCAAAGAAGGAGCTCTACCAGATTCATCACACAGCCACTATCCATAAGACAGACAAGAATATTCCTCATCTCCTCTTTACAGCAAGTTAGAACTAGAAAAGATTAATTAGTGAATGACAAATGTGACATATGGCAACTTCCTGAACTAACCTTCAGAATCCTTGTCCTTGGGGTCCATTGTACTAAGTACAAAGGTTATGTACTATTGTGAGCTGGGATTGTATGCAACCTTTAGTGAGGCAGATGTAATAGATATCCTGAATGACTAAAGAACTATAGTGAACAATTTTCCCTGTAGTAGGAGGACAAGACCAAAGACCCAAGCCCTATAACAAAAGTGATTTTTCTGGTTCTGAATCTGAGACATTCATGAACAATGGGACAAACCCAACTGTGGGTTCTGAACAACTGACATCAAACAAAGCCAGAGGTTAGGGCTGTCTTCTGGTAAGCTTTTTAGTATGCATGTAGATTCTTTTATTGTTTTTAATAAGTTTTCTCTGCAATGCTTTCACCTTAAGAATAAATATGTATAAAGAGATACGTGGTGACTTGCAACTCCCAGGGCTATCTATAACTGCCAGCAGAGAAAGTAAAGCGTATACCCTGTCCTGTCCACACCAAGCAAGAGTAAACATCACAGTATGAGCAGGGGACTGTGCAGCCTGACAAAAACCCAGTCAGGATGGAGAAAGGGAAGTAACAGAACTAGATGGTCGAGATAATACTTAGTCCTGTCATGAGTGAAGGGGACTGAACTAGATGGCCTCTTGAGGTACCTTCCAGTTCTATGATACTATGGAAGAAGTCAGGAGCCTAAAGTGGGTGCTTTTGGTGGACCACGAGGAAGAAATATAGTCGCAGTTGCCCTGAACTGTGACAGGGTGTAATATATTGCTATAATTTTCTCAAGGAGAAAAAAAAAGAGCTCCCAGCCATCCACCCCTTTCCATGGACGAGGTTACTAAAACCACCATTTTCAGAAACTTTCCCTGTTTGTGTGAGATTGTAGGAGGAAAGCAAGGGCTTATCCTTTGTTGTGCTAAAGCAGGGGAAAGCAAATAAAGGAATCCTCAGTGCTGAAGATATAAATTGTATTTCAAATAAATATTTTACACTAAAAGTTTTCTGATATGACATTTTTAATTTCAAATTCAACTGGAGAAACCCAAATGATTAAAAGTTGCAGATAAATAAGTATTAGGTGTGACTTCTGAACTAGGCACAGCTCCTAGCTGCAGAGTAGAGCACACACCATTCTCCTCAAAATCTTACAATATATTTTAAACATGTGTGTGCGCGCACCTGCCCATTTGTAAGCCCATTTATTTAACAACCCTTCTAAACCAGGGCTGGGCAAAACACAGTCCAGGGGCCAGATCCAGCACGTGAAGCCATCGGATCCAGTCTACGGACCACCCTGCTGGAACTCTCAGGTACACAACTGCCGCGGGTTTAAAGCGCAGTCCAGCGGCTCTCTGCTGTACGGGAGGAGGAGGCGGCTTCATGTGATCTCCCTGGCCCCGAGCCCAGTCCTCAGCTTCTGGGACAAACAGCCAATAGGAGCTGAGAGATTGGCCTGGGGATGGGAGCAGCACAAGTCTCTTCCCGCTCCCAGAGCGGAGAACCACATGGAGGGAACAGCCCGAAGCTCTAAGTGATCTGGGGCTGCAGCAGGCAGGGATCCCAGCCTGCCTTGGGGGTGCTGGCCAGGAGATGCATAGGTAAGCGCCTCCCAGCCACAGACTGCCTCTGATACCCCTGCCCCTCCCGTACCCCAACGCCCTCCCCCAGATCACCATCCAAACCCTCTGCTCCAGGTCACAACTCCCTCCCAGACCCTGTAACCCCTCCTACATCCTTCCCCCAAGCCAGAATCCTCTCCTGAATCCAGACTCCCTCCCTGACTCTGCACCCCATTCTCCTGCCCCAGGTCACAACCCCCTCTGTCATCCACACTCCCTCTCAGACCTCACACCAGTCCCTTACCTCCTGCAACCTTCTGTACCCAGCCTCCATCCTAGATCCTGCATCTCCACAGAAAAGTGGAGCACTTGACTGCTTTCCAAAATCTTGGAGTGGCCCCCCACCAAAAGTTATTGCCCACCTCTTTCCTAAACAGTAAGAGCTAAGACCACCAAATTTGGCATGCAGCGTCTTCTTATCATAACTTAAAAGCAAGGACAGGGTTTGGTTGTGCCAGAATAATGGGATGTGTGTGGAATGCAATTGTTTCACATCAAATAAAGAGAGGGGTGTGAGAACAGGGACAGTTATACTCACAAATGACAAGGGGCAGCAAGCACTCTAGTGAACAGTTGCTGGCCATCAACCAGCCCCCACTACTCTGGCCTGCCTCAGAGAGCAGCTGTCAGCCACCAGATGGCCCTCGCAACCTCATGGAGTAGATGGCAGGTGGCCTGTGTAGCCCCAACCACCTTGGGCCAGCCCTGGGGAAAGGCCAGCAGGTTGGATGTACAGCCCCTTCCCCCCCCACCAAACACACATCCAGGATCACCCCAGGGACAGACCGGAGGGCAGGGTGCATGGGAAACACAGGGTAAGTCTTCTGGTAATTTACATTACTAGTCTTTCAGAAGCAGTTTCTACCATCAGACACTGCCTATCGCCTCTATAGAAATTCTCAAAAGCATCATCACACTATTAGTAGACAGCTATTCTCACATCATTCTCTTGACCATCATTATCTTCAGTAATGTGTGTTATTTTGTTTGTTATTTCTTTACAGTCCCATGACAACTGTTGTGTCCAAACACATTCTACAAGCTTCCAATTGGGCAAGAACTTGTCTAATAAGAAAGAAAAAAAGTAACTTCAACATTAGGATCTCTTTAAGCATGTGAGCTGATGTACATAGATGTCAGTCTTGCAGGCCTACTGTCTTCAAAGCAATTCCTCATGTACTTAAAGTTAAACATCTGTTTAAACTATCTTACTGAATTAGAGTCTAAACTGGTTTTTAAAATCACTGAAATATAAGAGAACTCAGTCTAAAACACAGGGTTAAAATCTGAAATAACACAAGGTGATTGCCCCGCTGCTCCAACCCCTCCCAGCTCCAGCCCTGGGAATGCTGGTGTTGGCTGCCTGGCTGCTTCCCAGGTGTGGGAGGGGCATGTGGAGAGGCTCAAACCCATAATCCTAGGCTCTAGAGGCTATAGCAAACTAGTCACAATGAACTGGCCAAATATCCACATGTGGCTAGCATATTGGACACCACAGCTAAGTCATGATTCACATGCATAGCTGTCACAATATGCACTGTGTCAACCAAACAAACAGCAGTCTAAGAGTTACTTAATCACAAAGGAGGTTCTTGGATCTTCCTCGCCAGGGCTGACTACATAGTTTGATAAATTGATTCCTCAAGATATGGAGCCTTCATGATGAAAACTACCTAGAATTAACTCTATTCCTGAGAATTCATGGGTTTGGGAAGAATTCTAATCACAAATACCAACTGTATTTTTTGTACTTGTTTTAGGTCATAATTTATTATTGCGTCAAATAAAATATCTTACTTTTTTCTCGTACCACAGCTGGATGGGTAGAACTTAACGGAGGTAAAGAGGATAATCTATCTGTGATCTTGACGGATGTATCTGTGGACCAACGTGCACCCTCCTCTGTACTGCTCAGTGATTGTGTACTGTCTTCAGGGGCTCTGGTCAAAATATCAACATCTGCAGTAGTAAGGTTGAATGGTGGTGCTGGTGTAACAGGAGCCAGTGAATCTTCCTGCAAAGCCTGCCTAAACATACTGAAGTTTTCATGAATTTGGTCATCATGGGACAAAGGGCTTTGGGTCCAGGATGATGGCAGTATTTTAAGATCCGCTGTGGGAAGCACATCCAAACCATTTTCAACGATATGTGGAAAAGGAATATCAGATGTTCGAATGTTGCCACCAGCAGCTAGCAGGTCACTCCCATTTGAATAAAAACATGTTTTCTCTAATATACCTGAAGGAGACAAAAAAAATGTTCAACACTTATAATGAACACACTTACCAAGATTATTAGAAAGGACAGAAATTTGACCATCTAGTTTTGAAGGCAAATGCTACTCATAACACAATAACTGTTAAAACAATATTTTTATTTTTAAAGACTCATAGGTCAGATAGAGTTAAACCAAGAGTTTTCAAAAGGCTCACCAAGTAAAATAAAGCCACATACAAATAAAACCTAAAATTACTGCAAAATAAGCATATTATTAATTAATACACCACCAACACAAAGAAGTAATCCTCACAAAACAAACTGAAAACATTTTAGCCTTATCTAGAATGAAGTCACTGGACTTGATGGATTTTTTTTAAAGAACTGAGGATTAGAGTGGGAACAGTTGTAATGTGTAGTTGGTCTAGGCACCATTTTATTAAGACTAGAAATAATTTCCCTTCCATTGCATCATTACTAGTCTACACATTACTAGCTGTATCTTTAGAAGGCTACTTTCTGCCTTCATAGAAGATTATACTTTAAACATTATTATGTTAAAATATATAAAGTAGACATTGTTTTTGCTATGTATAGCTTTATGCAATTTAAAGTTCAATGCTAAGAAACAGATTCAAGAATTATTTGGCTTCATAATCTGGTGCTGAAGATGTTATAAAATATTTAAATCAAGATGTACTGTATTTTATTACTTCAGAGGAGTAGCTGAGTTAGTCTATAACAGGAAAAACTTAAAAAACTACAAATAGTCTAGTAGCACCTTAAAAACTAACAAATAGTGGATTTGGATCTGGACTTCTAACACTCCAGTCATCTGAAGAAGTGGGTTGTGCCCACGAAAGCTCATGATACCATCTACATGTTTTGTTAGTCTTTAAGGTGCTATTAGACTATTTGTTGTTTAAAGTTTTTCCTGTATTTTTTGGTTTAGAGTAAAACAAACATATTGTGCTTAGCTATGTTTTTTTACACTTACAAATAATTACTAGCTCACAAATCAAAATAGATATACTGGTGCTTTCTACCTTAACATTGGGATAAACCAGATGATATGGTTCTATATGCTTCAGAAAATTCAACCCAAATGATAAAATAGTCTGTGTTTAACTTGGCTGCTTATAAAGGTATTAGATTTATTGTAGAACATGGTGAAGAAATATGTATTACATACAGGAATATGTAACTTGCTGAAAATTATTAGATAAAAATGCCCATACCCATTTTAAATGTAACAGATTTGTTATCTGATCAGGAGTTATATTTAAGGGATATTTACACAGTAGATAAATATATACCGAATATATAAACAATATATGGTAAATAGGAATTGTTTTGGTTTCTAGTTAATCACTTAAGGGAAAAAAATGAGATATGAATATGTAACTTGCTGAAAATTATTAGATAAAAATGCCCATACCCATTTTAAATGTAACAGATTTGTTATCTGATCAGGAGTTATATTTAAGGGATATTTACACAGTAGATAAATATATACCGAATATATAAACAATATATGGTAAATAGGAATTGTTTTGGTTTCTAGTTAATCACTTAAGGGAAAAAAATGAGATATA